CACTCACGCGCTCTCAGATGCCATCAGGAGATGTGGCTCAGCTTCCTCACAGGGAACTCCTGAAGGGAGATACCTTGCTAGAGCTCAAGTCGTCATTTTTCAAACTGCTTCACTGAGGTATATTTTACAAGCCATAAAGCTACTCATTTAAAGTGCAGGATTCCATGCTTTTTGGTTTATGTGCAGAGCACGTGACCGTCACTACACTATTTGAGCATAGAACCTGTACATCCCCTGAGACCCGGTGCCTGACGGGTTAGCAGTTGCTGTGTTCTCTGGCACCTCCAGCCCTACACCACCTGCTTTCTGCCTCTATGATAAGCCTCTTCTGCATGTTTCCTGTAACAGAATCACACAATACGTGATCCGCTGTGTCCGGCTTCTTCCACATAGCCTAGCGTCTCTGAGGTTCATCCATGTTGCAGCATGGATCAGAACCGCAGTCCTTTTTTTTTTTTGAGACAGAGTCTTATTGTTGCCCTCTGTAGAGTGCCATTGAATCACAGCTCACAGCAACCTCAAACTCTTGGGCTTAAGTGATTCTCTTACCTCAGCCTCCCAAGGAGCTGGGACTATAGATACCTGCCACAATGCCCAGCTATTTTTTGGCTGCAGTTGTCATTGTTGTTTAGCTGGCCTGGGCCAGGTTTGAACCCACCAGCCTTGGTGTATGTGGCCAGCGCCTTAACCACTGTCTCATGGGCACCGAGCCTACAGTCCTTTCTAAGACTAATATTCCAGAATTTGAAGTCAGTAGAGAAAAAATCCTTTGAAACCTTTTAATGCACAGAAAGCTAAAAACCCTGTTTTATATATCCCCATCTCTCCCTGTTGCTTTAAAGCCAGTCCTAGCAGGGCTCTGAGCTTTGGCATTTTTATTTGTTTTAATTATTTTTATTTAATATAAATATTTTTATTTATACTTGATCCTGAGCTGTCCTCCCCAGTGGGTGTGGAGGCCATGCAGTGCTCTGCGGAGCTCCTGGGCCTTCACAGGCTATATTTAGAGCCTTTCCACCACCAGGTTCTGTGCTGTAAAGCTCAGCCTAGGCTCTCCTGACCTTTAGAGAGGCTTCTCCAGACGGGATGCCTTATAGGGGATGCAGACACTGGTTTACAAGGCTACATTTAAGTCTTAAACAAGAACTGTAAGGGAATAAAAACCACAGGAAAACAAAGAGTGAGAGGCTGGCAAAGGACACAGGGCAGTCAGGCCTGGAGGTTGTTACTCTTCCTCTTAACTTGATGTGCTTTTCTAAACATTACAAAGCACATTGTCATGGAGATGACCTGCCTTGGCACAGGAGCATAGGCCTAATGTGATCAGGAAAACTCCTCCAGAGGCCAGGTAGTGGGCTCACAGCTGTAATCCGGGCACTCTGGGAGGCTGAGAAGAGAGGATTGCTTGAGGTCAGTTCAAGACCAGCCTGAGCAAGAGTGAGACCCTGTCTACTAAACATAGAAAAACTAGCCAGGCTTAGAAAAACATAGCAGGGACCTTTGGTCTCAGCTACTTGGGAGACTGAGGCAGGAGGATTGCCTGAGCCAAGGAGTTTGAAGTTGCTGTGAGCTAGGCTGACACCATAGCACTCTAGCCAGGGTGACAGAGTGACTCTGAATCAAAAAAAAAAAATTCCTCTAGAGCAGTGATTCCCAACCTTCCTAATGCCGCAACCCTTTAATACAGTTCCTCATGTTGTGGTGACCCCCAACCATAAAATTATTTTCAGTGCTACTTCATAACTGTAATTTTGCTACTATTATGAATTGTAATGTAATATCTGATAGGCAAGATGGTCTTAGGCAACCCCTGTGAAAGCTTCGTTTGACCCCCAAAGGGGTTGTGACCCACAGGTTGAGAATCGATGCTCTAGAGACACTTGGCCCAGGAACTTGGGATTAGGAAACCTGCAGATTGCGCCTCTCAGCTGTAGGATGGACAGCACCACCTTAGGGCAGCAATGATTAAGTCCCTGACCGCACAGGCCTGGTTCACAGAGAGCTCTACATAAACACCAGCCACTGTTGTTTTAACTGGAAACTGAAGGACAGTGTGAGTGAGCGTGCCTACCTGCCCAAGATTTTCAAGATCACTTTCATGGTGAATTCAGGAATCTTATAGACAAGGATAGATATTGGAAGAAGCTGATTCTAGCTTCTCATTCAACACAGGACCTTTTCTAAGCACCCCTAATGCTGGCAGGGAAGAGACCCATCCCAAGGATGCTGTCTGATATTAGTGAGAAGCCTGGGGACAGCTGCCCTGGGACTGTCAGCCGAAGTCTGTGCTGTGGCTTCTGGAGTGACACAGCAAAGGCCAGTGTCTGTCAATGGCTCCGGTGACGTCACTGTCCACCCAAAACTGATTTCCCAGATGAACAGCCCCAGTTATCTCGACACTCCTCACATTTCACAGTCTCTAAATAAGTCACAGTGGAGAAACGTCAGCAGAAGTTATACACGTAAGCGTGGTTTTCTCAGAGTTCCTGCCTTGGGAGACTGTATTTACGTCCTGACCTTGCTGTGATTTGCCCACTTGTAAAAATTCTCTTTTCCTACCTCCCTACTTGGCTGTCATCCTTCATGTCATCAGAAAATGGGATCCCTCCAGTAAGGACATCAAATTGCCTTCTTCTGGTGACTCTGAAATGGCTCTAAAAATTAGTCACCCAGCAACGATGATTTGTTCCACCTGAGGGTATTCAAAAGTATGAATAACTAAAACCATAAAAATATCCTTTGGTTAACTTTTAAAACTATCTCCACAGGGGAGCTTTTCTAAGGACAGCACAAAACCTGGAAGTCACAAAACAAATTTATATGAAAATACAAATATGATCAATCTGAATAAAAAATAGTAATAATAATAAACTGGGGGAAATTAGAACATATTCTATCATAATGGGATAATTTTCTTATGAAATAAAGCTTTTTTTTTGAGACAGAGTCTCACTCAGTTGCCCTCAGGAAGAGTGCCCTGAGTAGCTGGGATTACAGGTGACCGCCACAACACCCAGCTATTTTTAGAGGTGGAGGTCTCACTCTTGTTCAGGTTGGTCTGAACTCCTGAGCTCAAGCAAGCTGCCCGCTTCCACCTCCCCAGTGCTACGGCATGAGCCACTATGTCTGGCCTGAAATAAAGAGCTTTAAAAATCCATACAGAATAGTCACAATCTTATAGAAAAATTGGTAAGGGACAGGAACAGATTTTTTCACAGAAGACGAAATGCAGCAGGCTCTTAGACACACAGATGAATTAGATTCATGCATGTTGATACTAGCAGGGACCATTTTTTATTTGCCAGAATGAATCAAGGTCTTTGGCTGTGCTTATGTTGGTGAGGACAATGGTACTTGGTGGCCACATTGCCACAGATAACAGTGCTTGGGTCCTTAAGTCTGGCAGTGTCACCTACATGGAAAAGAGCCTGGAAACACATTGCTATGGGACCTGTCACCCTAATGTGGGAATGCCATAGGCCACCACAGGACCAAAGCAGTTTGCAGTGTGTGGGCATGTGTGGAGCCCTGTTCAGGCACATTGCGGCGTGTGCCCGGGGGGAACAGCCTCACTGCACCCCAGGCTGCTTCTCACAATGTGCTACCATGTGCACATGGAGCTATTTTTGAAAAATGAGAGCCCACTTTATTATCACAAAAGACACTGGAGAGAAATGACTTGCATATTTTGCCTAAAATAGTCCTTGACTTATTTGGTACTCTCTTGGGAAACGGCCAGTGGTTCACCCTTTTCAGATGTGAGCTCACTCACGTTCTTTAAAAGGATCAAGTCGATTTTTGGTTTGCCTGCCTGCATCTATCATTGATTCTTTGCCTCCGGAGTTCTTTAAATATTTAACGTGTCGGTATTATGGAAGTGAAAGGGCCGGTGGGGCCCTGCCAAGGTGGGGACCGTGAAGTTGGGGAGAGGACAGGCCTTCTCTGCCCTCTGGGTGAAGCTGCCCAGCCTTCGTCCTCACGAGACTCTGTTCAGGGAGCCTCTCTCCTGCTTTGTCTTCTCTGGCCATATCACATGCTGACCTCTGACCTCCTCCCAAGGTTTGAGCCCCTCAGCACAGAACTGCTGGCTCTTGCTTTGTGTGAGTTCTAGGTGTCCCTCCTGCCTCTGGGGACGGGGTGGCACAGACCAGGCTCTGCAGTGTGAACATCTACAGGCGCTGAGCTGCTCAGGTATCAGAGAGGGTTCCCATGTGGTTCCTTCTCTGCTGCCACCTGCTATGCAGCACAGGCGCTAAGAGAGGAGGAGTGAGATGGCCTGTCTGTGGAACCCTTTCCCCCTCTGCACAGGCCTCTGCCGTGTAGTCTAGGAGGTCCTGGCCTAGCCTGTCCCTCCTGCCACACTTGGTTCCCAGACAGGCTTGAGGGGCTTCGCACAAATGCACGCAGGGCACGGTCAGCTTGAAGCTTTCTCTGGCATGTGATCCCTTTGGGACTGTCCTGGCCAAAAGCAGGGAGTTGAGGTCGCTGGCTCAGCAGGGGAGGAGGTCTGCTTTCCAGCCTGTGGGGACAGCAGGATCCCTGGCCAGACCTCTTTGCAGCCTGGACTCCTCGGGACCTTGCACTGTTGTCTCCGGAGAAGCTGGCAAGACATAAAGCATGCCACCTCCTCTGCCACTCCACTTTGGCTACTTTTTTTTTTTTTTGGAGACAGTCTCACTGTTGCCCTGGGTAGAATGCCACGGTGTTATAGCTCACAGCAACCTCAAACTCTTGGGCTTAAGAGATTCTCTTGCCTCCCAAGTAGCTGGGACTACAGGTGCCCACCACAATGCCCAGCTATTTTTTTTTTTTTATTGTTGTAGTTGTCATTGTTTGGCAGGCCTGGGCTGGGTTTGAACCTGCCAGCTCCGGTGTATGTGGCTGGCACCCTTGCCACTTAGCTACAGCACAGAACCACACTTTGGCTATTTTTTAAACTTTGGTAAACAGAGATATCAGGTGCCAGGTAGGCAAACGGTGCCGCCACTCAGAGAGGCCTCCCAGGAGCAGGAAACTTTTATTTTAGGTGGACATGAGGCTCAGCCATGCCACATACTGTACATTCACTGCAACACCAACGCCGGGGCTCAGGCACCAGGACCCACACACCACATAGGACGTGTGGGGCAGGGTGGGGTCAGTCCAAGGAGGACAGACTGTGGCCCAGGACACCACAAGAGCATGGTTCTGGGGACAGTGGCTTGGCTGAACTGTGGCAGGATTCTGTCCCCTGACACCACCTCACTGGGCTGCAGACGGCTCACAATAGCAATACATTCACTGGAACACAGAGGCAGTGTCCAGAAGAGGGGCTCAGAGCACAGCTTCCACACAAGCACTCGGCACACCCACAAAAGGATCGTCGTTTAAGCAGCATGGCCACAAACAGTGCTACAGGGGTTCACTCAGTGCCTGCCCACAGCAGGAGATGTTCTCTGAAGAGCAGGCAAGCAAGGTCCCTGGGAGGTTCCCCAGCTCCTCTCCTACCCATTGTGTTCCTTCTATTAACCCCAAACCATGCCAGGTTCAAGGAGAGCAGCTCCCCAGTGACTCTACACACCCACACAGAACAGGAGGGAGCACACGAGAACCAACTTCACAGCAGGCCAGCCCAAAGGGCATGGCAGAAACAGCTCTGAGAGCAGCCAAGGCAGCCTATTCAACCTCCTCAGGCTCTCCTGGGGAAAGTGGAGCCCACCTCAGGGAGGGAGGAAACCCACAGGTCTGGGAGACTTATCCCAGGGAGAAATATAGCTGCTGTGGCCACCCTAGGGGTGTATGGGGGCTGTGTTGCTGCTGTGGTGTGTACCTGAGCCCCCTCTGGTCCTCTGCCCACCTGGAGCTGGGCAGCCAGGAGGCACTGAGCAGACCCTCTGGCTGCATGCAGCTGGGGGAGGCAGGTGCACAGGCCAGGGGGGCATGAGGCCCCTCCAAGTCCCAGGCAAGTCCACAAGAAATACCCCCACAGATTGTGGGGGAGGAAGGGGCTCACCCCACATCACAGCCCCTCAGGGGTGAAGTCACATCCAGGACAGGAGAGCCATAGAGATTACCACTGACTGGGGCAGGCTGGGCAGCTCCGCTGCTACGAGCCTGGATTCTTCTGTCTGTTCAGGGAGTCGATATAATGAAAAATGGCCCCCAGAGCCCAGCTGGTCTCAACGTTGTCAATTTTCCGAGTCAGCTTCAAAACACAAAGGGGGATAGGCAACTATCAGACACCGTGACAGAAAGGCGTAGTGTCTGTGGGTAAGGTAGCATGCTCAGGAGGCTGGGACCGGCTGGGGACAGGACCCCAGCAATGGGAGCAGTAGTTCCTGGCCCCTCACCTACAAAGGAGGCACACTGACCTTCAGCACTTTGCCCCGGGGAAAGCCAAGCTCCTGCAGCAGCAGGCTGACGTAGGTGAGGTCCATGCACGCGAAGGGGCCGTGCTGTGGCTGGGTCTCCAGGGTCCGGCACACTGGGAATGATACGGCCGCAGGTTCCAGGCTGTCCATTCTCAGGGGCGGGGGGTGAGAGGCACTCTAGTCCCTCCCATGCCAGGTGCCCCCGGCTCCTCGCTCTGATTCTCGGACAGGATTGTAGCTGAGTGTGGGAGGACAAGGTGCCCGGGCACCCAGAGACCACGGTGGGCCCCAGCCTCCCCCAGACCAGGCTCCAGGCCCAAGTGCCCCTACACAGCTTGTGTGGGGGTCGTGGGCCACCATGAGCAGGCCACATCTCTGCACCCAAGACCCTGGACACTGCCTCAGGTGGTCAACCTGAATAAAATCAGGGCTTTCTAGGGAATGAAAACAACTAAGCTGTCTCAGAACAATCTGGGTCTGCTCTTGAGGAGGAAGCACAAACCTCTCGGGACCAGTCCTAGGACTCTACCCAGAGCCTGTTCCCGTGGAGTGGTGCATACGGCACCCATCCATGGGGAGCCACTGTTTGGGGGAGGGGGAAGGTAGAGCCTTTTATGGGGGAATATACAAAGTTTAACTCTTAGAATGTTTCTACTGACTGGCTATCCGTGTATTCCCTGCCATGGGTTGAACATGAAAGAGGGGGCACAGGAAGGTGGGGAGCACTGTGAGGGCTGCTGGGCAAACCATCTATGGCCCTGGGGGCGGCCCCCAGCCCTCACTTCCTGGGTTCACTGTGCAGGGCTCACAACTTCTTCAGGTTTGTTTGACAATCATGAACTTACTGGGACATCCAGGAAAATCACCCTTAGGGTCACTCAACTAACAGTGAAAAGGCATCAGAAGAGAAGAGATTGAGGGAGGGGCTGGGACGGTAGTTCTTTCATGGTTGGGAACACCAAGTCCCCTGTCTGTAGCCATTATTAGGAGTGGACCTGGGGCGTGGGCCCTACACGGTGACCCCAAGTGTACAGTGAACTCCACAAACACCTGTGAATGCTCGTTGGCAGTAGCGGGAACCAAACCCAGGAGTTGTGTGTCACCAGCATCATGGGATGTCCCTCCCCAGCAGAGCGGGCATCCATAGCATCACTCACCGTACTTGGCTGCAAGCTCAAAGTCTCCGACAACTAGGCTGCCGCCCTTCTCTGCATCTGTGGGACAAGACAGAGCACTGGTCTGCAGGGTGTCTAGAAGCCTGGGGTGCTGCCGAGGCCTAAGGCTGGTGCTGGGTTGCTGGTCAGATGCATCAAGGCACCAGGAGAGGCTGGGGGTGGGGGGTGGGGTGGGCTCTAGCCACATGCAGGCCCTATGCTGACTGAGTTTTCTGAGTGATGTGGCTCAGAGCGGGTAAGTTGTCAGGGCTGGACCACACAGCAGGGGTGCTCAGAAGGTCACCCAACACCCAAACCCTGAGTGTCCCCTCCAGAGAAAGTTCACCAGGATCCCTGGGCCCCAAATTAAATAAACTCTTCATTTTAAGTTAAGAAAAATAAAAATACAGAAAAAGAAACATTTCACAAAGCCATGGTACTGAGTTCAGCATGTTTTACCAAATGGGAAAAAAAAGTTTTTAAAAAAAAGTGACAGGTGATCTGTTGGGTTGCTTCCACTTTGGCCACCCCCAGGTCCCTGGTCAGCAGCAGCACAGCCAGTGCAGAGATGCTACAGAAGGCCTTGGGACCCAGGGAGCCGGAGTCATGGCATCTCCTGGGCAGCTTTCATTTGAAATGTTATTGTTCTCATCCTAACCTCAGGCCACACAATCTGATATTCTCTATTTCTTTCTTTCTTTTTTTTTTTTTTTTTTTTTTGAGACAGTGTTACTCTGTCACCTTGGCTAAAGTGCTATGGTATCATCACAGCTCACAGCAACCTCAAACTGATGGGTCTAAGACATCTTTCTGCTTTACGCTCCTTAGCAGCTGAGACTACAGGCACTCACCACAACACTCAGCTATTGTTTTTCTATTTTTACTAGAGATGGGGGTCTCACTCTTTGTCAGGCTGGTCTCAAGCTCCTGAGCTCAAGGGATCCTTTGTCTTGGCCTCCCAGAGTGCTGGGATTACAGGTGTGAACCACTGCGCCTGGCCTGATAATTCTGTTTTATCAAAAAAAAAAAAAAAAAAAAATCCTAGTCACCACTCACTGAAGTGACTTTATAACCCTCTCGAGTCTCCACATAGACTGACCACCACTGGCTTTGGCAAACTCCAAACACCTCTGCCCTGGCATCCAACATGTAACTTTATTAAATGGCTCAAAAAACCAATCTGTCTATAAAAAGGTGCTTATTACTCCCTACTCTGAGGACAAGATGCCTTTCCCTGTCTACCTCAGCCATCCTGCAGTGTCTGTGACAACAGGGTTACCAGCTGTCACTGGCCCTCCTCCTGGGAGACCCACCCAGGCCCACCATCCTGCTCAGCCCAGCTGGGTTGCCCTCACCTATGAGGCCGACATGGGCTGCGAGGTCGTGATAGTAGGAGAAAGCGTAGAAGTCCACATGCTTTGCCTCTTCCGTCCTGTGCACTTTATTTCGGAGGATCTCCGACACTCTGCTGGAGCACAGCTCGTAGAGGGTTGCAGCTGGGGAGGAGTGCAAAGCCAGAGGTCAGCAGGCTCTAGGCACTTGGGCCATGCAGACCCTTGGGGTCCTTCCCCAGTGACTTGAGACTTGGACCAGAACTGGCAGACCCCAGCCCAAGTAGCGGTGCTCACCACACACACCAAGAACAGCCCTGCCGGAGCCACGGCACACTGGGGCCAGGTCTACAAGGAGGGCAGCTCCAAAGGCTGTCAGAGACCCCAACCCCACCCTGACGCTGCCCATCAGGACAGCTGGGATGGGCCCTGCCTTCCACCTCATCAAGCACCCTGGTGGTGGGGCCGGTATCCTATGTCACCAACAAGGAAACTGGACCTAGTGGGCCACTGGACAGCAACACAGGACCCAGAGGCTAAAAGTTTGCCCTGATGCCTGCCAGGCGCCTCACCCCAACTGCCCACCTTCCCCCATTCCTGCTCTCCTGTCGCTCCCCTGCCCCCATCCTCATTTTCCCACTGTCCCCATCAGGTACCACCACCAGCTGCCTGTTAAGTGAGCACAGGGCACTGCCACAGGACCTTTGCACGTGTTGCTCCTCCAGGTGTGTGTGGCTCATTCTCACCCCTGCCGTCCCTGCAAGGCTCTTTGCTGTCCTAGTTGAAACTGCAATCTCCCTCCCAGCACCCTCTGCCCTCTTTTATCTTTCTGGGTAGCACTTTCTCATGTGTTTCCCTGTCCGTCCTCACTGAGATTGCAGCAGCACTGTCACTGTGCCCTGGCCCGAAGCAGGCTGTGCCTGACTCATGGCACGCACACAAGCAGACGACTGGGGCAGAGTGATGTGCTCAGTCACTGAAGCCAACTGTGCCTCATGTCCCGGTGTCCGGCCTGGGCATAACATGTCAGACATTCCCTTAGACCACCCAGGGCTGGCTGGGCCACTGTCACCAGGCAATGGGGACTTGCAGCCTTAGACTATGGGGAGCAGCCCTGGCTTCTCCCTGCTATTTAGAAACTGCTTAGCGCCGGGCCCTTGTGCTGACAGCCAGGTGTGGCCTTTCTTCTCAGAGCTCCAAGGTGTGCAGGTCACTCGTCACTAGAAGCTTGTCAAGAAATCTGACCCTTTGGAGGAAACATTTAGTGACAGACAAGAAAGCCTTGTGCAGAGGCCCGGCGGGAGGGAGTGTTCTCAGTGCTCTGACAAAGGCCGCACAGCCTGGGGAGGCTCCCAGAGCAAGCACGGGCTGGGCTGTGTGGGTCTGGATGGCCCCCTGCTCCTCAGGGACGAGGGGAGGCAAAGTGAGACGCAGCTCACGCACCTGCCTTCTGTCCTGCAATTCTGTATGTTACTTCGGCGTGTTCCCACTCTCCTCTGAAGTTGGGAGACAGGCAAGGGCTGACCAACTCCTTTCCATCCTTAGCTTAAAAAAAGATTAAAGAAAGAAAAAGCATGTTGCCACCAGGGCCCACACAGAACTGCACCCTGGTGCCACCACGTCACACTGCTGCAGGGAACACAGGTGGCCCCAGTGTCACGGGGATGTACTTCCTTCTACCACATGAGATCTGACTCTTGGGGGTCCCCAGAGAAGCCTCATTAAGAAATTGCAGCAAAGTCTCCCCTACCCTGGAAACACAACTGATACAGAGACCACAGGCCATGCACTAGTTTGTGGTTGTCACAGTGACCCTACGAGGAGGGGAGGGGTCACTGCCACATTACAGATGGCTGAGGCCACAACAAGAGGCACTTGGTACCCCCAGGCCTTGAACTGAATCCATGCTGTTCCATGGCACAAAGCCAGGGCCACTGTGTGGTGGGCCCTGTGGTGCTACTCCTGGATGGTACACCACTCTCCCACTGAGAGGAAGGTGCCATCCCCTGCCCTGGATTCTAGTCAGGGCCTATTTTCACGGATGGAATGGACAGGAAATAATGCATGTGACTTCAAGGCAGCCTTCAGCCCAGGCCACACTGCTGGGAGAGGCCACACAGGAGCAGTGGTGTGAACAGGACCTCAGCTGGCCCCTGGGCCCCAGTGGAGTCCTGTGGGGCTAGACAGACCACAGAGGACTGCTGTTTGCTACTTTCCACTCCATCTGGGGTGTCTCGCCTAGTGATAGCCAACAGAACAGGCTCATCCTCCCGGCTGGTATCCTAGCCACTTCCTAGGAACCTGGACCGAGCAAGAGATGGGCAGGGGTGTCCTCACAAGGCTGGACAGTGAAGGAGAATCATCATCACTGAAGGCAGCAGCCCTACTGCTGCCTCCCCACAACCCTTACGCACTGTCTGGGGGACACGGTTCTCTCTTCACATCCCCAAAACAAGTCGACTCCCCATGTAGGCAATGACTGTACTCAGGTTCCCCAAATCTTCCAGCTAGGTGTTTCAGAAATGATTAGAACAATAATAGGACTGTGGTCTCCACGAGAGTGCCACCAGCAAAATCTGGGGTACATCTCTCCTGGGCCAGCCACGCCTGGCCCGGTGCTGGCTGCTGCCGTGACAGTGGGGAGTGGGGAGCTGGGAGGCGGGACCTCCATGGGATGGGTGGCTGCTCCCCTGAGGGGCTCCTTGCTCTCCCTGAGAACAGCAGGCAGGGGCTACAGGAGGAGGCCTCAGACAGTGCGTAGGTCCACTCACCAGGCTGCCCCTCCACACCGCCCAGGATTGCCAGCCGCGCCGACATCAACCCGAGCCCAAGGTAACTGTGGAAGGACACGGGGGTGAGGCTGGGCCGCAGGGTGCTGGGCGCAGCAAGCTCTCTGGCAGGGACCCATGCAAGTGGGAAGGAGGGACCCTGCGGCAAGGCAGTCGCAAGGCCTTCCTGCTCCTTCTCAGGCCTGTCTCTGTCCACATGCTCTCTGCATACGTGGGCCTGTGATGTGGCAGCAGCTGCCCGGGAGCTGCGGGCCTGCTGGTGAGCAAGGCAGACTCTGTCCTCGAGTCTAGGGCTGTGCTCGGTTTGTGAGGACAATCTGCCAGTGGCACTGTGAGGCAAGCAGGTGGCCTAGCAAAGCACTGCACAGACACGGGCTCTGTCCACTCTTCCTCAAACCTCCCCCCCAGCAGAACAGAATTAGCACAGAAGAGAAATGTGATTACACTGCAGGTAAAAAGCAGAGGAGGAGGGAGGGGACAGGAAGGGCCAGGAGGAGGTGGGTCCAGGGGTTTCTAGGACCTAGCCGCTCCATGAGGCAGCAGCTGGAAGCTGGGGGGTCTTTGTGCTGCTTGGAGCTGTGTACCCGACCTCCCCCACTTTCCCAAAAGCAGACCTGTAGGAGTAGAGCTTGTAGGTCCTGTTGAACATCTGCAGCGTGGTCAGGTGGCCTGGCGGGGAGGTCTGTAGGGTGGCCTGGGGAAGACATGATGGGAGGCTACTATGCTTCCTGCCAGTCTCTCTAGAAGGTTGTCCCCTCACTCTCGCTTCATTTGAAAGGACGGGGAGACTCAGAAGTGGTCAAATAAACAAGCTTTTCATTAAGTCCCATGCTATAGAAAAACAGGAGCAAGCAATAAAAACTACAACACGAGAGCAAAAACCTGTCGTCCTCCCTCACCAGCAACGCTTCACTCATTCTGACACACATGGCCCAGCCAAGACAATCATCTATCAGTAATTGTAAGTGCTCTGTTTGCTGAAAGCTAAAACTGAGCAGAAAAGTGAATGGGTGAGGAGGGAACTATTTTTAAAGCAACAAATGGTTGTAATGGGGAGTATTTTCATCTGTTTTAGAATATTTATCTTGAGAAAGGTTGATGCTCCCTCCCCATCCATAACCAGACCAAGTGATGCCCACCACTGCTCCTTGCCGAGAACCCTGAAGGGAGGAAAGCCTCCACTTCACATTCTCTGGCCTGAGGGTCTCCAGCTACTATTTATTACCCACTAAAGACCAAGTTTCTGTTGCTGTTTTGGTTTTTATTTGCAGGTAGGGTTAAAATCCAAGCAAGCAGCATTGCCTGTGAAAGATCCTGGTCTCAGAAGAGGACACCACCTCAGGGCAGCTCAGCCTCCTCCCGGGGTGGCCGGCACCCCAGGTGGGTGGGCCTCATGGGTGGGAAAGGTGCTGAGTCGGCAGGCTGCTTACCTCAAGCTGTGGCAGGAAGGTGATCTGAGTGGACCCTCCGCCCAAATCCAGCATGCCCACACTGCTCCCTCCTGGGCCTCTCAAGCTGCCTGGAGCACAGTGAGTAACAACAGTTAGGCAGGTGCAAGCAGCAGAAAAGTGAGAGTGGCTCAAAGTTGGGCCCTTCAGTAGAGGGGATGCTGCTGCCCTATCTCAGAGCTCCCAGGGAAAACTGCACTGTATGTTTAAGGGGTAACTGATGGCTCTGCCAGCTCTGGCTTTCATTTGGACCATGACAGACACTAACCTTCAGGAGAGACGCAGGACCTGTCCTATCTCCTGGGAAGGAGGCCACTGGCCCCTCTGACACTCTTACAAGGGGCCTGCAAGGCTCCGTCCAGCCAGCCTGGGCTCTCTGACCCAAAGCACCCAGGCAGAGGCTCTCATCTGTCTCCTGACACTTTCCTCCCCTCGTGAAAGGGGCAGATCCTGCCAGGAGCTGCCTATCTTTTCTCATGGCATCAGACACACTGCTCTTTTCCCTAACTGCAGTGAAGGACAGTAAGAACCACTGGCTCCTCACCACCAGCTCCACCCATGGCAGAGGGTAAGTATCTTCTTGTCACATTTAATATCTGAAGACATGACTGGCCTTAGTCTTTGCTTCCCTGAGAAATGAGAGGACAGGGCCCTTGGCAGAAGTCATGCAGGAGATGACGTGGGGGCCATGCTGGGACAGAAGCACCCCTCCTAACACTTACACCTGTGAGCTCACTGTTCACTTCCCCATCCAGCCCTGACACCCCACTTTAGGTCAGGAATGACATAAAAACCTCAAGAGGCTATCAGAGAGAATGGAAATGAGGGCCTGCTCTCTAGGAAGCCCCGCTGGCCCTCCTTGGCAGGTGCTATGAGCCGCTGGCCTTTATGGCAAAGTAGACATACACACCTGTCAGGAAGTTGATCGTGATCCAGGCTGAAACCCCTGAAAGAGAGCGTCACAGACAACTTCTCAGTCACTTGTGCTGCTGTCAATGTAGCAAACAGGGCCATGAATGACTATCTCCAGATTTCAGAAGAGGCCACCTCCTTGCTGCACTCAGCCTGTAGACTGCCACAGACACAGCATGGCTCAGAAACGACCCAGCAGCTTCCAGCAGACTGGACGGACACCTTAAACCTAGGGTGTGCCACCAAATGCCACATCTCTCCCTTCTGTCCTCACCACCAGCTTCCATTTTTCAGAAGCAAGAGGAGAAGAGCCTGATGCCCCTCCCCTGCCCTGTTCCATGCCACTCTTAAGGTCACATTGAAAGCAGGCTCGTGAGGAACCTTACTGTCTCTCTCAAAAATAACACCTCAACGGCTGCACCCTAAACATAGCAGAGGCTGGAGATGTTCCAAATGTTACTGAAGCAGAACACGATGCTTCCAGAAACTTCACCTGTGTCAGGTCCAGGGTTGGTCAGGGTGGTAATCTGTCTCTGACACTGGCCACCCAACCACCCTCTAGACGTGCAGTGAGTGGGAAGGGCTGGGACCTCAGCACCCCTCACCCAGGAGTCTGAGCAAGGAGGCGGCCCCCACGAGGGCCCACCCAGCATCTGCCCCTGGGAAATCTACCTTCATCTGTTCCGTTCATGATGGACACGCAGTCATCCCCTACAAGGAAGGGCGAAGCCTTAAACACGTCTTTCACCTAAACAGAGAGAGATTTTTTTCATCCTTTAGAACTTAAAAGTCAATAGTTTTGCACCATGCTCTCAGCTGGCAATAAAAAAACACCAGAGGGACCTTCTGTGTCTGAAGTAATAAACCTTATATTTTGTTCAAACCTATCTAATTCTTCATGAGGAATTTACTCAGGCAATCTCCTCCCTGGGCTGGCTGAGGCACCTGCTGCCCTGGAGATCAGTCCTGAGCCACTCTGGCCTATAAGGGCTTCAGTAGACCCAACTGGCCGAGCTGAGCTGGCACCCTGAGTGAACTGAGCCCCTCAATGCTGCCCCACTTTGGGACATGAGATAAATGAGCAAGAAGGCATACAAGGCAGAGTCCAAACCTGGGACCCCCACATGAGGTCTGGGTGGTCCAGCTCCAGGGAAAGGGGCCAGAGGGCCTGTGTCTATTTCCTCTCCTGCCTCCCAGCACACCTCTACACACAGAAACTTCAGCACCTCTGCACCCCACAATCCAACTTTGTGAGAGGCCTTGGCAGACAGACACCAGGCTGTCCCCTCACACGTGCAGAGTCTGGAAGGAGCGTAGGGGCTAAGGAGGATCATTTTGCTTAGAGCAGTTCCCTAACTCCCAGTTGGGGAGATGGTACCCTAGCTCTTGCTGGTGCCAGGTGCCAGGCAGGGAGACAGAAGCCTCTTCAAAAAGCACACCTGGATGCCAGGCCAGGTGCAGAACTAGCTATGCTCATGAGGACCAAGGCAAGAAGGCTTGAGCCCAAATGCCGTGAGCCTTCTGACTCATACCAAGTCCCTGGAGGGAGGGAAGCCCTCAAAGGCACATGCGCTTTAACAATAATGTTGCTTTTCTCTTCATAAAACACTGATTCACTCTGAAAAACAGAAATAGTCTTGAATGTCATGAAGAAGAAAGTATCAGGCACTCACACCCCTACCTAAAGGGGACATACCGTGGCCTCCCTCCTTGGGAGGTGCCTGCACATCATTCCAGAGTGCGGGCACTGGCTGGGAACGCATATCCTTCCAGAGTGCGGGCACTGGCTGGGAGCCAAGTGTCTCTAGTTGTCATCAGCTGCTGAGCCTCCCCGCTCATCGCCCAGCCTAATGAGTGGGGAAATGGCCAAGCTCACCTTTTGCAGTAACTTCTGAGCCTTCTCTCCTGGTAACAGCCGTAAGCCGGCAGTGGCCTTGAGGACCAGAGGGGTGGCCTTCCAGAAGTCGAAGGGAATGTGTTGTTTAGCAATATCCAGGAGCTCCTGGATTCCCTGAGTGCTCTGCAAAGTGGTGAGAGTGAGGCAGCGCCTGCCAAGTGTAGCACATAAGGTCACCCAGCCACCTCCACCCTCTGGTTTATAAACATGATTTTTTTTTTCTACTTTCCAAATCCACAGGAAACAGGGATGCAAGTGGTATTGGCAGGTGTGTGGGGACATGAGGACCAGGCAAACATGGAGAGACGCCCTTGGCCATGGAAGTAGCAGGACAAGGACAGGTCAGGAGAATGAGCTGCCTCTACCATGGCCAGGCAGCCAAGGGCAGGGACTCCACAGCTCAGACAGGTCTTGGCTCCCTGGAGGGCACGAGTATGTGGGAACTAAGGAGTCCCAGCTCCTCACAGCACTGAATCCCATGAGAAATGACATCAAGGAACCATGACACCTGCCAGAGTGCTCAAGACCCCAAAGCTGGACAAAGGCCTGTGTCCGTGTGGGCACGTGGGACAGCTCAGAAAGACAGCCATGCATATCCACAGCTGCAGTGCCCAAGTGGCCAGTGGGCAACGTCTAAGAAAAAAGACATGTTCCTTTTGTTCAGAGATGCCATTCTACAGATAGAGACAGCCTTGCATGTGTGGGCAAAGAGGTCCATGGGGGATGACAGATGGCAGCCATCCTGTGCTACTCAGGGAGAAAGACTGAGTGTCTTGAAGACGCCCTCCAGGAGGGCCCTGGTCCCCAAGCGAAGGTGCAGCACACACACACTTTCCTGCTCCTCCATCTCACACAGCTGCCTCTGAACACGTGCACGTCCACCAGCATGGTCCCCAGGTAGCCTGTAGCACCAGGAGTCAGTGCTGCTGCCCTAGGGGGCAAGGGCGTTTATCCCCATGGTATATGTTACTTATGCAAACAAGCCAGACTCTTCAAATCCTAGTTTATTCTAAGACACCTAATTCAATCAGGTTTGACCTCCTGTTCACTCCAGAATCACTAATTTCTATTTGTTTTTTGACCAAGCCACAAGGCATGAAGTACACTGTCTGAGACGGAGACGGTGAGGCAGCTCGAGGCTAGACATGCTTGAACGGAGGGACTGTGGCTCTACTGAGGCCAGTTTCATGATGAGAGGAAGACCAGGGCCCTGTGTTGGTGCAGTCAGAGAAGTATGGATGCTGCAAACCTGCAGAACTCTTAATAACAGCTTAGTTAAATTTGTGAAATATTTATCTGGTTTTCTAGATTTTGCATAATAACTCTGGGTATTTTCTGAGACAGGGTCTCACTTTGTTGCCCAGCCTGGAGTGCAGTAGTAGGATTGAAGCTCAATGCAGCCTCAAACTCCTAGGATTAAGTGATCCTCCTACCTTAGTCTCCAGAGTAGCTGGGACTAGAAATGCATGCCAACACGCCTGGCAAATTAAAAAAAAGTTTGTTTTTTTGTAGATATGGGGTCTAACTACATTGCTAAGGCTGGTCTTGAACTCCTGACTTTGAGTGACCCTCCCACCTTGGCCTCCCACAGGGAGGGAATACAGGTGTGAGCCACCATGCCCAGCCCACAGTACATTTTTAGTTCTAATTTTTCATTTTAGCAATGTTTGCTATCTTCAATCAAAGGAATAGCAATAACAAATTAAGAACATGTGATGCAAAATTTACAAAAATAAATTGAGTAAAACAATTTTTACTTCATTTTCAGAGATTAGGGTCTCTGCTATGTCATACAGTCTGGGCTCAAAACTCCAAGGCTCAAATCTTCTCAACACCATCAGTATTATGGGGCCTCATGTCTGGGCCAACATGCTGGTAGGGCAGGCCTGGGAGGCCTGGGGGCAGCATCCTCCTCTGGGCTTATGCACCATCCCCTCTGCCCTCCTGACCACCATCCAAGGTGCCTCCCTCTGTCTTTTTGAAAAGCCTCCTGCTTTCAAAGGAAAGGGGCTGGCCATACCACTAGCACAATCAGACAAATGTGACGAACAGATAGCCAAGAAGAAGACCCTTACCTTTTCAACATCATCAGCATAAGCAGAAAGGCCTGGCTTGAGTGCTTTGAAGGTTTCATGAGTCAAAGTAGGAGTTTCTAAGAGGAAAATGTTTAGTAAAAGGGCAAAATTATTAATACAGCATGGATGTGTACATATGCACAACTATGAGCAGTTGACACAAGCCAATCCCAGAGAGGCAGGGGCCCCTCAGTTATTTCTCATCTGAATGCTGCCTCTTAGTTCGGCTGAACAAGTACAATACCTAACATTTTAACCAGAACTTTACCTTTTTAAAAAGGCAACTTTATTGAGGATAATATACAAGCAAAAACAAATGCATCAATTTAAAGCATTAAATTTTAACAGTTAATTCTTGCTGATTCAAAAAATAAAGAAATAGGATAAGTGAATCCAAACTGCAAATGTGAAAATAATTTCCTTGATTCTGGAATGGATGTACTACAGGATTTTAAATATTGTGTTTTTCCTTCTCTTTAAAAAGTGGAGTGTGTTAAATTATTAGGAGTTGTATGGACTCAAGTGCACACAGCAAGTGAAATGTTGAGAGACACACCAAATTCAGACACAAAGACTCAGGAGGAAAAACAAGACCATAAAAATCAGGGACAAAACTTTCTGCAGAGATTTTCCTCTCCAATAAGAAAACACTAGCTTGTGGCTATGAAAGTACCACAAGCTGCTGTGCTGCCTTAAATTAGCTTCAGAACCATTTTTGGAGGTAAGTAGATATAGCATCTAAATATTTAACTATTGTAATAAGTTAAAAATAAAGCAGATGAAATGAAAAGTAAATAACACATGCCACACTCGCTTTGAAAAGTACACAATGCCTAGTGCCTAGAGAGGCAGAATGGTGTCTACTCCAAAGGCAACGGGGTCAGTGGAGACCAGAAGGGAGGGGCGCCCAGATGAGTGGGTGGGGACCTGCCCACAGAGGGCTGCACATTCAGAGGGCAAACCGTGGGGTCACAGCATAAGAGGGCCAGTGGGAAACTGGACCCCAGGAGGAGACTGAGGCAGAGAGCAGAGGAACAGAGGGCAGCTGCCCACCCTCCTGCCTGCAGCCTCCAGTTCCCTTCTCAAGTGGGGCCCCTCCTGTTGTCTCCAGCTATCTGGGCCTGAGGCAGCTGCAGGTTGGCCTGGGTTCCTGGCTCCCGTGAGCCTGAATCTGGGGTTACTTCCTGCCTTAAACCTTCCCTGGCCACCTGACCTCCTGGTGAATGCAGGGAGGGGACAGACAGCTGCCTTTCAGTGGTGGTCACCACTAGTGTTGGGAGTTGGGACTCCTGGAGAACTCAGAGGCTGGGTCCCCTCATGCATATCAGCATGTCTAGAAACTGCATTTTGACAAGCTCCCAGGTGAGTCCATGGCAGGGGGTCCAGACATCACTGTCTTTAAGGGGAGGAAATCCCACAGCCCTGTCCTGCCCTGTCCCAAAGGGGCTCACAATCAGCTTCCTGCTGGGATACCTCCGGGTAGCCGGGCGAACTGGAAGACGTGGACTCGGGTGCCGGTGCTCCCTGCGTCAAACATGATCCCATAGAAGACCTCATGACCATGCGCAGCTGTCCCTAGGGGGCTATGGGCCTGCTGGCCCCACTGGGCCCCAGAAGCTGCCCCAGCAATGCTAAAGAAGGCCTGGGTGGCGGAGGCGCGGTGCCACTTGATGTAGGCGACGTAGATGAACAGGCCCACGCACAGCCCCAAGGGGTATACCACTTTCGTCACCCTCAGGTTCCCATGATTTGGTATTTTTCTCATTTCTTTGACTTCCAAGAATTGTACCGCAACTGCTGGTGGAGAGAGGGAGAAGAGGTGGGAGGTGCTTGTGAGGATGCAGGTTCCGGGTGAGGCAGAAGTCCCTGGATCCAGGAAAAATGATTCTGCAATGTGTGATCCCCGTTTCACTGAAGTGGGACTCAGGCTTATAAGGACGGGTCTCCTACACAGGGTCCATGCCCCCTGAAGGCGCTAGGCTGGGCACAGACCACAGCCGCAGGCTACTCTATGTGAGGTTCCAAACACATGGCTTTGGGGCACATTGCTGTTTACCTAAAAAGACCACCTGTAAGGGGTATCCCGAAGCTGTCTGTGGGAACAGACGTGTATCTAATTCATTCCTTCAATCATCACTTACACTTTCATTTAGGCAACTGACTTTTCAAAAGATTGTAAACCCTGTCCCTTAGGCAAACTTGCAGAGGGCCCCAGACAAACCTGAAGTATGAAGCTGGTTTTTCTGGAAGTTTCACAACAGGTGCCTCTTTTCATTCACACACCACATTTCTGCCAATAAGAAAAAGTGTATTCTTTCAAAGCCTATAAAATTCTACACAGGTAGTAAAATAAATTAATTGGGCACCATTATTTTTGGTTTTGGTTTAATATACCCCAAAATGAAAGCATTTGTACAAGTTCAATCAGCAGCTCCCCTGTGAGGAAGTGTGTGGGAACCTGAGGCTTCCAAGGATGAGAAGTGAGGTGCCTGATTCTCAGGGCTCCCCTACCCTCAGGGAACATCGGTCCATCTGTCCACCCCAAGGGAGAGACACAGAGGTGCCAGGCTAGAGGCAGGCCACAGGTCACCGCTGGAGGAGCAGGTCTCCTCCCCTGCAGGGTGGGAGCTCCCAGGAGGGCTGCCTCAGGACAAGGCCTGGGAAGCATGTACTGCAGGCTCTGTAGAGAGCAATGAGAGGAAATGTCCCCAGGGAACCAAGGGCTGTGATGGGCTGGAGGACAGTGTGGAGGCACTGGGGGGTGGTGGGGAGAGGGGCTGGGTCAGCCTTGAGGCTGCCTGGGCAGAGAAGAAATGAATGGAAGGGGGCCTCAGGGAAGGGCACTGGGCACGGGCCTCCCTCAGCCCAGGCCATACTAGATGACCTCAGGCCCATGGAGCACAAGGTCAGATTCTGTGCCCTAGCAGGGGGAGGGGGAAGAGCAGGACAAATCACCCCTCCCTGGCATCCTCCACTGCAGGCCTGTGAAAGGTCATTCCTGGCAGGAGCAGGCCTCCTTCCTCAAGGGCTCCTGCCCTACTCTGGGCCTCTCCTGGGGCCTATTAAACTTGGGAGCTTCCCTCCACTCTCACAGTCATGTCATGGCCCACTGCCTGGGCCTAGTCCCCACTGGCCTCTGAGCTTCAGCTCATATCTTTCCCTGCTCGTGGTGCTCCCTGCCTCCCTTTGCCCAGCCCTCGGTCTCTCCCTGCCTCAGGCCCTTTGCACGCACTGTCACTCATTCCCAAAATGCTTGGCTACCACCCTGGCTAAGCCTGTCCTCATCCCACAAACTCCACTGAAATGTTACTACCACTACCTACCCTGATACCCCAACCCTGAACACACCCTCCACAGGTGTTCTGTACCCTGAACATGCCCTCACAGGGGGGCTGCACCCCCCCCACCCTGAACACACCCTCACAGGAGGGCTGCACCTTCTACCCTGAACACACCCTCACAGGTGGGCTGTACCCTCCATCCTGAACATGCCTCACAGGGGGCTGCACCCCCCACCCTGAACGCGTCCTCACAGGGGGCTGCACCCCCCACCCTGAACATACCCTCACAGGCTGATCCCAAAGCTCAGGCACTCTGACAAGAAAGTTAAGGTCTTTCCTACTACAGAGGTCATCTGCAACAACAGGGAGGGGGACCATTTTTCCAAGTGCTCAATTTCCAACAGAAAATCACAAGGCATACAAAGAAACAGGAAAATATGGCTCATTCATACGAAGAAAAGAGAGTGGCAGAACCTATCCCTGAAGAAACACAGACACTGGATGAACCAGACAAAGACTTTCAAACAACTCTTACATAAGCTGACACAGCTGGAAAAAAGACACAGATAAAGAATAAAAGAAGTCAAGAAAATGGTATATGACAACAAAATGAGAGGATCAACAGTTAGAAACTGTAAAAATGAATCAAACCAAAATTATAGGACTGAAACATACAATAACTGAATTGAAAACACTGAGTGGACAGGTTAGTAGAGGATTTGAATAGGCAGACGTATCAGCAAGCTTGAACATGGGACACTGAAATTATTCAGTCAGAGGAGCAAAAAAAAAAGAATGAAGAAAAGTAAGGAGAGCCTACAGGATTTATGGAACAGTATCAAGTAAAACAATACATACATTATGGGAGTCCAAGAAGGAAAAGAGAAAAATAGCAAGCAGAGATAGTATTTGGAGAAACGTTGGCTCCAAACCTCCCAAATTTGAGGAAAGCCGTGAATATAAACATCAGAGAAGCTCAGTAACCCCAAATAAAATCAATTCAGAGAGATGCTGCACCCTGGCTTCTATCTCCAGGTTGAAGAAACTTCATTACTTTACTTGCCTTTTAAATACAAGACTCGACTTCAGACAACCAGAAACCACTCACACGACCTTCCATACACATAATTATCAAAGCTCCACACCAACAAGTTTAGGACAACATAAAGGGAGTCCACATAGGACGCGATATCGAGGGAGTGTAGAGCTGGGTCACTTCCGTCTTTCTGGAGCCTGAAATTCAGACACCAGCTTCACTTCACTAGGCTAAGGTGTTTGTCTACATCTAAGACACCCACCTGCAGGACAGGGAGATGGGACACTGCCCATACACCCAGCACGTGCTGAGCAGCCCTCCCTGAGGGGTCTCTGAGGAAATGATGACTCACTTTAGTCTGTTCTTACAGGAGAGGGGGAGAAGTGAGGCGGGGAGAAGGTAGTCAAGAGGGAACTGCGGGGAGGCAGGGGTCTGAAGAAGGGCACCCAAAGGCCAACAGAGGTGTGCTCCTGCTGGGGCCACCCTGTCAAGTGGGGACAGGAGAATCTGTGTGTGGGGCAGTGTTGTCAGAGGCTGGAGCTGATTGTCCCCTGGCTAGCTTCTAAGAGCTGGTGGGGACAGGCCTGCTCTGTTTGATTTGGATTGGTATCCACCTCTCTGCTGGCCAGGTCCTTCCAGGTTTTCAGTTCAAGTAAACGAAAGGGCCAGGACTGCAAACCACTGCCACACAGTGTGCCCTGACCCGGCGGCGGGCAAGTGAAGTAATGAAGTTTCTTCTTATTCTGAAAACCTACCCAGAATTAAGCACCTCAGCAAACCACCACTCTCTCCAGGTGTGTTTAAATGTACTTCTCTCCCTTCCCAGTAGAAAGTCCTACTGGAATCGCCCTGTCAACTCTGCCTACACGTCCTTTTAACAGGATGCAGCAGGAGGAGGCACCGCCAGACCTCTTTACACAAAGGACTGTTTCTCTACGTCTCACACCAGACTCTAGGAGGGAGCTGGACACACACCGTATTAGTCAACTGACTCTCCTGGGGGCAGAACCCATTTTCGAATTTGTAATACGTTTGCTAGCTTTTTCAAGAATGACTACCTCATCAACACAATGGTAGCACCAACAGGGAAGGCTCTGCCACCCTTGGCTCTTGCCCAGTAAGGAGGGACAGCCCTTGTCTTCTTCCTAGGAAAGCTCCTTCCCAGAGGTTCTAGGTCCCCCAATGGGGGCTCATGCAAGACTCCGCCTTGTCCTGTGTGATGGAGGGCGTGGCTCAGCACTCATCACTCTGAAAGAGGTGCCTGGAGGGACACTCAGGTCTGCTCAGTCACTTCTGGCTGATTCCTCTGCCTTTTGCTCTTCCAGTTGCTCGTAAAATAAAAACACCCTCCTTTTCATGGTCCCTGAGCCCCTCCCATTTGTCCTTCCTCTTTCATCCCCAGGTTCAGTCCAGTGCCCAGCTCTGACCACCTCCAGGCCTCTCCTTACCTCAGTCTGGAGCACTGGATGCTAACAGGTTACCTCAGGCAGAAGAAGCCTGAGCACCTATGAGAGCCTCCAGGCACCATCCCAATTGCAGTTATGTGTCCTCACATCCTCAAACTGTGTGCACGGCATGATCTTACCTGCTTCCTAGAATCTGCTAAGCCAGGCCTCCCATCTGAGTTATAAGATCCGGGAATGACAGCCCTGCCCTGGCACCGAGCTGGGTGGCGGTGCGCGAACGCTGCTGAATGAATGAATGAATGAATGAACGAATGCAGGAAGGCTGTGGGTCCCCGGGGCAGAGACTCTGCTATCTCGCCCACCCTGTAGCCCCAAACACTGAATGTGCCCTCCGCCGGGTCAGCGGAGTCCGACGTCCAGGGAGGCCTAAAGCAGCCTGGAAAGAAAAGCAGCAGGAGGGGGACCCGGGGTGCCAGTGACCCTGAGAGCTCCCGCACCCTGTGGGACCCAGCTCCTCCTCCGCTTCGGCCTTCGCCTCCAGGGTACCCGCCACTGCCCACGAGGAGCCCAGTCCCCGCCGCGATCCCACCCGGGCCACCGCCCCCGCACGAGCCCCCCGCCCGTCTTACCCTGAACGCCGCCTTCTACCCACTGTGGAGGGGGTGACGCTCCGCGGGGAGCAGGCGGCAGGCGCGGGCCGCCCTCCTGCTCTCCCGTCGGTGGGCGCCACCAGGTCCTCCACCTGGGGTACACGACCCCCACGGACTCGCCAGCCGGAGCCCCGCCCACCAGCGTGTACGTCACGGGGCGGGGGCGGGGGTCAGCGCGATTCCAGCTGCGCAGGCGCAATGCGCGAGCGGCTCCAGCTGCGCAGGCGCGGTACCCTTCTCGCCGTTGGCTGGGTGGTGGCGGGTCTGGCGCTCCTGGCCGGTGCCCGCGCTGACCTGGGCGCCGGCACCGCTGGGTTCTAGGGTTGTCTTGGGTAGAGCCGGCCGTGTCGTGGCTGGCAGGAAGGTTACCACAACCTCACAAGTTTGGCCTGTGGAATTTCCCGGGAACCCTCCACAGCTGAATTTCCTTTTTTCTTTTGGGGTGGTACGCGATAGAAAATGCACACGGAGCAGCGGCGTGATCGCGAGTCCCCCACTCTTGGCTCCATTTCTTACGTCTTCCTAGAAGCCACGTTGGCTGCCAGCTCCTGACAGTCCTGGAATACAGGCCTCCAGTTTACTTAGGGACGCGGGTGGTGTGGGCTGCCCAGCTGTCCCCAGACGCTTCGCCCGCCTGGGTGGGAAAAGGGGTGGTGGTAGGGCTGCCCAGGTGACCGTGTCCGGCCGTGTGGTGTGGGCGCGCTCCTTTCAGGCTGGATCCTCCAGGACTGCCCCATAGCTCGGAGGGCCCTTGGAAGAGCCTTTGTTGGAAGAAGTCCAGGATTCTTAATTGTTAGGATCGGACACTGTTGAGAGTGAAGGGGTATCAAGGACCTGTATGTGGGTGCCGGAGACAACGCGCATAACCCAGGCCTAGCAGCTGGTGCAGGGGGTCCCCCTGTCGAGTCCCCACCAGTGGAAGGCTGCCCACGCTCATGTGGTTGGTCGCGGCCCTCCTGCGGAGATGTGGTTATTACACGAGTTAGTCTGTGTGGGCCCTTGAAGTTTTTCCCAGTTGCTTGCCATTTTGAATAACGCTAAAGGTCTATCTTTGTGCCCTTGTGTAGATAAAACTGTAGCAAAAAAGCTTAGGAGTGGAATTGTCTGTAGTAAAGGCTAAGTCCTTTTTTTTTTTGAGACAGAGCCTCAAGCTATCCCCCTGGGTAGAGTGCTGTGGCATCACAGCTCACAGCAACCTCCAACTCCTGGGCTCAAGCGAGTCTCCTGCCTCCGCCTCCCAAGTAGCTGGAACCACAGGCGCCCGCCACAACGCCCAGCTATTTTTTGGTTGCAGCTGTCGTCGTTTGGCAGGCTCAGGCTGGATTCGAATCCGCCACCTTAGGCGTATGTGGCTGGCGCCTTAGCCACTTAAGCCACAGGCGCCGAGCCAAAGGCTCTGTCCTTTAAAAAAAAATTAGATAGACGTGGCTAAACTGTGCCTCCTCCTTTAGACAGTGTACTAATTTATACTCCTACACAAAGAATGTTTAAGTGTCTGCGTTTCCCCACATTGTCGTCTCTGGAGTCTTTCCAAGCTTTTGGATTTTTGCCATCCAATAATTACAAACTGTATCTCACAGTTTGAATTTACATTTTTCTCATATTTTGAGATCCCTGTTCATGGAACTGTGATGGCCCCGCTTCCTTCTGCCTCATTCACACATATCTTATCACTTCCTCCCTTTCGCCATGTTTCACTCCTGGGGTTTCTAGAATTTGTCAAAGTAAGCTTTTTGGTGACACAGGCTTTTGTGTATGCTCTCACAGAGGTCTTTCCTTAGGAGATTCTTTTTTTTTTTTGCAGTTTTTTGGCCGGAGCCACGTTTGAACCTGCTACCCCTGGTATATGGGGCCGGTGTCCTACTCCTTTGAACCACAGGCACTGCCCCCTTAGGAGATGCTTTAAGACTCAGCTCATGTCACCTCAGGCCATTTTTTCTGGAGTGACCTCCCCCAGTTATTCTCTGTCCCAGTTCCCTTTATGCTGTTTTCCTCATAGCACTCATCATAGCCATTGTTATTCATTTGTTGACATGTTTATTAGTGTATTATTTGTTCTACTACTAGAATGTAAGCTCCATGAACAAAAAGAAGTGGTTTGTCCTGACCACTGTTGGATGCCCAGCACCTGGCACTCTGTCTGGCACATGGTAGGCACCTAATCCCCTCAGCCTACCTCTGACCTCAGCTCTCCTGTTGTGGTGGACAGTTCCCACACATGCTGCGACCTCAAGCTGCTCATTGCTCTTGTAGTTAGGGCTCACATGGGACTTTCTGGAAGCCCTGGGAGCAGGCACAGCCTGGAAATTCATGGAAATTTAACTTCATGGGTGCAATTGCAGGGTAGTTCTCTGGGTGGCCTTGCACAGACCTAGTCCCATTTCTTGCTTACAGTTCTCAGGAATCTAACTATAGACTGTGCTGGAAATGCAACATCTTGAGATAAGGGGAGCTATCTGGAACAACCCATGCTTTGTTCTAGTCCTCCACTAAAAACAGGAAGTCCTTCAATGCTTTAGCCCAGCAAGTCCAACACCCCCAGCGTATAAACCCCTGGGCAGGCTGCTTTCTGGTGTCCCTCATCTTTGGGGCAAGTGAGGAATACATAGTTGAGACTCCGTGTGCCCCAGGCAACTCCTGAGACTTGGGAGGCCAGCTCACAATGAATCCTAGGCTTCTGCTGTCTGTCATTGCCTGTCTGTAAATAATAAATCTGTTTCATATGACTTGCTGAGACACAGACAAGTTGGTAACCAGCAGGATTGAGCCTCGGTTGCCCACAGTGGCGCCCCTCCCCCCGGGTTGGTTTTTCCTTCTTCTTTTCTCTCTTTCTCCTACTTGCTTCTAGGGACCACCTCCCAAATAAACCACCTACATCACACTGCCAGTGGGAAACTCTTACCTCACTGCCAGTGGGAAACCTAAGCTCTTACCTCACACTGCCAGTGGGAAACCCAAGTTAAGACAATATTCAAAATATTTGTTGATGAAATGGATGGATTGATTATGGCATTTCTGAAGTTTTTATCATAAACTAGAAGAAGCAACTCAGTCTTGCAGGTGGCGCCTGCCTGGGTAATGCAGGAGATGGGACAGATGACTGATATGTGGAGCATAGCAGAAAAGTATGCAAGTGTTCTGACAACAGGAGGAAAGACTGGCCCCGATTTGGGGATGAGAAGGTTTTAGAAGAGGTGGATGAATTAGTGAGCTGCCTCAGTTTACCCATTGTGACAATAGTGAAGGAAGCCCATTATTTTTGTGTGGGTGCTTGTCTCAGATGTGCCCAGTGCCTCACACCAATCCAGGACAGCTGCAGATGTGTGCACCAGAGTAAGAAGCAAAGCATGGGTTCCACAGCGCCCCTGGTAGCAGCTGCCACCTGTGCCCTCCCCACCCATATCTGTCCTACTGCAAGTGCTTGTGAGCTCCACAGCAGGTCTCTTTTCTGGCCAGAGGACATGCCAGGAGGTAATGCTCCTGGAAACATCTCTCGGCCAATGACAAGTGTAAAGATCCAAGCTCCCTTACCGCTCAGATAGGACAATCTCTGGCATGTCTACATGGCATTAAGCCAGAGTGTAACCGAGTTCAAGCTGGTAACACTGACTACACAACCTCCAATAAGTCCGGAGACAAGGTGGTGGGGGAAGGAAAGCAACTTTATTCATAAAGCCAGCAAGAAAATGGAGGACTAAAGTCCCAAAGAACCATCTTACATTAGTATGAACTTTAGGCTTTTTTTATGTTAAAGGAGAGGATGGGGTTACAAGAGCTGACCAGTGCCCACAGACATATGGGTACCAGCAAGGGTCTGGGGAGTTTGTGAAATGTTTTTGTTCTTGGTCAGTTAATTTTAGATGACATAGGTGAGGTCATAACACTGTTATTTGTGAGCACACTTTTCTTATTTCTCCAGGAGTTAGTTTGGGGAAAGGGATGATTATCATTTTTCCTTTAAAGTTGAACTACAAACTAAATTCCTCCATAGTTAGCTGGTCTACACATAGAGATAAGCAGAAGCTTTTAACCTAAGCGACTTTGCTGCTGGAGGTCAGAAGCAAAGTAGAGCTAGTCATGTTAAACCTCCCTTCTGCTTATGAGCGTGGAAGCCTGCACTGGCTTTCTTCCCTTCTTCCTCTCATTTCCCTACTCCTCTTTGCCATTTCCTGGGGTTACCTCCCAAATAAACCACTTGCACTCAAATCCTTTTTCAAAATTTGTTTTGAGGGAATTCAACCTATGCCAGCCAACCCTTATAGGTCATTTTGATAATAACATCAAATAAAACCTCTCAGTCACCTCTCTGATTTCTTCCTTGGGTTCTCTGAAATCCGCAGTCACAAATAACGACTTCCTGACCAAATTTTCTTTAATTCCCTGGAAAGTCAGACCCTCTTTTTTCATGGATAACTTTCCATTTCCCAAAATCTAGTACTCAGGTGAAAAAAGGTGAGGAGAACTTACCCTCGCCCGAGGGAAGTTGACCTTTTTTATTCCTTCCCCTGACATTGGCCAGGATGTGATCTTTTGTGGGGTTCCTGATAGATGGTCTAACAGAGACCACCTTGCACCATAGTGACAACTGTTTGGGACAATAAGAAGTGCAGCAGTAACACAGGTCAGAGTGTCCTGGGTGACTGGTTAGGTATTCGAGCAAGGAGAGACTGGTGTGACCGAGCACCTGTTTGATGCCCTGAGAGGCTGCTGATGTGTTGCCCTC